TGTAACAGAGGATAAGGAAACAAATTAAGAGAAGTCAGGATGAATGGCTATGATGCTCTATAAAGTTACAAGGTTAATCAAAGAAATTAAAACTCCAACTTTAATTATTTAAAAAGTGAGTCAGCGCAAAAGAATTGGAAACAGCTCTATTCACAACAGGCAAAAGGCAGAAACAACCCAAAAGTCCATCAACTATGAACAGATAAGCAAAATGTAGTATTTCCATACAATGAAATATTACTCAGTCATAAAAAGAAATGAAACACTGATACATGCTACACCATGAACTCATGTTGAAAACATTTCACAGAATGAAAGAAGCCAGACAGAAAAGGCCATATATTGTATGGTTCCATTCTCAGGAAATATCCAGACTAGGCAAATCTATACAGTCAGTATATTAGTGGTTGCCAGAGTGAATTGGGGGGGGAGGGGGTTGTTCATGGGAAGTAACCTTACAGGTTGATCTGATCATAAATTCCTAACTGGGCAGGTCATGGTTGGTAGTCATGCCCCAGGCCTATAACTTTTTTAGTGAAAGGCCTTGTCCATTTTTCTTGAGCATCTAGGTTAACACACCCTTGAAATACTGGAATGCTCCTCCAAAGGGATATTAACTCTCAAGAGAGCATATAATATTGTTAATTGTCCGGTAATCCAATACCCCCCATGCCTTCTCCAATCTTCCTAATATCCCCTCCCTCCTTAATTTCAAATACATAAAAGCTGCTGCAAAACTGTTATTCTCTCTGGAGTATCTGAGATCTTGCTCCTTGGCATATATCACCAGACTGACTTAAATAAACTCTTACAAAAATTTTCTACAGATTTGGGTGTTCTTATGTCAACACACTGAATTGCATACTTTAAAATGGTTAAAATGGTGAATTTTATATTATGTGAATTCTATCACTGCCATGGCCAGGTAGCTCAGTTGGCTAGAGCATTCTCCTGATACACCAAAGTTGAGGGTTCAATCCCCGGTCAGAGCACATACAAGAACCAGTGAATGCATAAATAAGTGGAACAACAAATTAATGTTTCTTTGCCTCTCTCTCTCTCTCTCTCTCAAAATCAATCAACCAACCAACCAATCAATAAAAAGAATTTTATCACTTTCAAAATAATGTGGGTTACAATTTTCCATTTTACTCTAGAAATAAAAATTAGAACACGGTCTGTCCTACTCAACCTAGCACACACACACTGAGAACCTTTATAATGGCATAGGGGTTCAGAGCTATCTGTGTCCCTCAGTCAAGTTACTTAAACTCTCTGAACCTTCCTGATCAATCAAATGGGCCTAATAATTGCACCTATCTTATACAGATACTGTAAAGATAAAATGGAGATAATACAATCTAAGTACAGTGCCAGACACAAGTAATTGCTGAACAAAAGTTAGGCATAATCTTCCCTGGAAACAGTGCAATCTTAAATGTTAGAAATAAAATCCTAGTTAGATCAAGACAAGTTTATAAGAAGCTAGGAAAATTCCTTGGCAAGGGGAATGGGGACACTGAGACAGCTAAACAGACTGGTGGAACGATTTACAACCAGATAGAGAAGGTCACCAGGGCAGAGGCCCCCCACCCATGCCTAGCAACCCGCACAACTGGTGACGGACTTCACTCCCAGGGTGGCCTTTCCTCCCTAGGCATATGGCTGGTCACAAGGTTTAGATCCCTGCCCTGGGCCTGAGCAATCAGCGGAGTCCACAATGCTGGAAAAGCTGATGAGTCTTCTATTGAAATCTCCCCTGAGACCTCCCCTAAAATCCCCACCTTTGGAAAGCAGATTAAAAACTCCTCAAGACAAAGAATCCAATGAGGGCCCTCTCTGGGGAACACAAACTCAAATCTCCTTTTCCAGTGAATTTTCTTTCTCCTAAACATTAAAGGGTCCTCAGAAGACTTACAACCAGGGGAGCAATGGGCAGTGGCAGTTCATCCCTGACTAACCCCCTGAACCTGTCCACAAGGTTCCCTTTTCTCTGACTCTCAAGTGAACTGACAGCAGCCCTGCCTTGGCTCACTTCTTTCCATAACGTTTCAAGAGCACCAAAATAGCAGCGCCCCCCACACCCCGCAGTCTCCCTCCTATTCCCTCCTATTACTTCTTCTATCCTAAGCCCATCCTTGTATCACTGATCCCAGCTTTAATAAATGTACTCTACAAATCACTTGGACTCGTTCAGTGAAATCTTTCCTGCATGAAGTTGAGAACCAACACGCTACTGGCTGACCTTAGGGAGACCCGCTCTGAGCCTGGACCCCTTTCCAGTAACAAAATCAAAGGTTGGTCATGAGCTGACTCTTTAGGAGGTCTGTTTGGTCAGAACTATTTTTATAATAGTTATATGACATTATTTGCCTTTTTCACTGCAATGACATTTGCAGTGAAAAAGCAATGATAAATCTACTGGTACCTTAACAAAAATTAAGGCAGTAGCATCAAATTGTACTAGCAGTACTATATTCTTCATTATATAGTCACAGTTTAAAAATAAAAAAAGAAGCCAGTTTCATTTATCCTTAATGAAGCAGTAAAAATAATGTTATTAAATCTCAGTCCTTGAGTACATGCCTTTTTAATCTTTGTGATGAAACTGGCAGTATGTATAGAGCACTTGGACTGTACAAAGAAATAGCTATCTGGAGGAAAAGCACTTGTGGAGGAATATATTTGAGTTGTGAGCTAAACTAGCCTCTCTGTCCATGTAACACAATTTTTACTTGAAAAAACAATCGACTAATAAATTATAGTTATTTGGACTTGGGTATTTAGCAGACTTTTTTTTCAAAAAAGAACTTCAAAAAAAAATTACCAGTATTTTCAACCAATAATGAAATTCAAGCATTCAAATGGAAATCCAAATTCTAGAAAACACATTTCTGCCACTATGAACTTAAAAGCTCCCCAATACTTAAAGATTGTTATGAAATTAATAGTGATGTTAACATGTATTTTTAATATCACATATTGAAATGTGTCAACACTTGGAAGATCTGCATAATTCAGTGAAACAATATTTTCTAAATGATCAATGTTACAAAATAATGCATGAGTTAAAGATCCAGGCAAAGTACTAGATAGACCAATGGACTTTAATATAATAATGAAATTATTACATTAATATAATACATTAATATAATTTCAGATTTCACACTACAACTGACCTTTAAAAAACTATGACTTTCAAGTTTTGCTGTACTATCAAATATCCACAATTGTCGGAAAGGTCATTAAAGTACTCCTCAATTTTCCAACAACATTTCTTACATGATCTAATCAAAACAGTGTATCACAATAGATTGAACAGAGAAGCAGATAAAACTCAGCCATCTTCTATTGAAGAAATGTGTAAAAATATAAAACAACAATGCTTATCTTCTCACAAAAATTTTTGGCTTGGAAAATAGAGTAATTTTTATGAAAAATATTTATATAAAAAAAGTTAATACTATTATTTAACAAATCTTAAATTTCTGTTTTAATTTTTAATAAAGTAAATAGTTATATAACCTATATAAAGAAAAGCTCTTTGGGCCATTCAATAATTCTTAAGAAACTGAAGAGATTTATGAAACCAAAAGGTCTGAGAACTGCAATCTTATCCATTGTTTCTGCTCACAAAGTTCAAAAGTAATCTATCCCATACACAGTAGTTTCACAACATGGTAAAGGTATTTGGATACCTATGACTTAAAATACAATGTAAATAATCCAAAGAGGTATCAAATTTTAACCTGGCAGAAATGTCTGAAATATCCTAGTATACGATGTCACAGTGTCATTAGTATGCCCTTTAGACACATGCCAGATGGTCCAGGACACACACAAAAAAGTGATTTTATACCATTTGTCTTCCCTTCCCCTCAAAATTCACTTCCAATTGGACTGAGACATGAGATAATTGAGATTATCAATTCAAAATGTGATAAGAAAAGTTACAAGCAATCCTCTAGGAAAGCGAATCAATTTGGGGCCCTGCCTGGAGACAAAGGTTTTCTCTAGACAGTTTCTGGCTCACTGTGAGCTCTGTTCTATCCTGCCCTAATGAAAAAAAATCACACAAAACACAAACTTCTAATTCAAATTGGCTTCCTCTGCTCACTAAAGTTCTTAATATTGGAAATGGCTCTGGATACCTAATATAGCCTTAGAAATGCCCTGGATTGCAGACTGGGAATCCCTAAAAGGAATCTAGGTGTGGTAATAACAAGAGTAAACATTTTTTTGATGTAGTTTTTAAAGATTTTATTTATTTATTTTTAGAAAGAGGAGAAGGGAGGGAGAATGCGAGGGAAACATCAATGTGTGGTTGCCTCTCACATGCCCCCTACTGGAGACCTGGCCGGCAACCCAGTCATCTGCACTGACTGGGAATTGAATCAGCAACCCTTTGGTTCACTGGCCGGCACTCAATCCACTAAGCCACACCAGCTAGGGCTGATTTATGTTTTGATGAGTTAGTAGGTGCCAAGCACTGTTCTAAAGCATTTATATATATTAATTCAATCCTAATAATCTTAGGATGTTGATATGGTTACCACTGTTTTGTCCAGGAAGTCACTAGATCTGCATTATTTCACTTTTGTAACTATAACATCCTAAAATGCCACCCTTCCTACCTATTATTATCCTGGAAAACATGAAGAAAGCACTGAGTTCCGTAAAACTAGATTGCTACTATCAATATCCACCACCCAAGTAACTTAATAATTATCAGACTAAAATACTTTTTCCTACAACAAATTCCTTTTTCAAGATATCAGCTTACTATAGGAAGGAAGGAAGGAAGGAAGGAAGGAAGGAAGGAAGGAAGGAAGGAAGGAAGGAAGGAAGGAAGGGAGGGAGGGAGGGAGGGAGGGAGGGAGGAAGGGAGGGCACACTCTTTGCAATAAGAAGATCTCAAAGAAAAGGAACAAAAACTAGTTGAATTTCCAGGGATGCTTTTAAGCACCTCTTGATTGAAACAAAGTATTCCGGATACATACCTGTTGGAGCCATCTTTCATATGAACTTTGGCATAAAGAACATCCACCATGCCAGGATCATCATTCATGTATTCTATCCCTTCCATCTCTACTTCCAGGGGTTTGCCCCCAGAAATGTTGCTGCAAAGGAAAATGATTAGATTATTATCATTATTTAAGCTAAGGGGGCTATTATAACATATTTTGAATCATGGTTAATATACATAGTCAAACTTGACAAAAACGAAGTTGTTGGGGTTTTTTACTAACAACATTATCTATCCTAATTTCAAAATTAATACAGGTTTAATACACACAAACTAGAAACACTGGTATTTCTGAAATCACTCTAGCATTCTCTAAGAAAAAGTCAAGCAATAACAGTTCTAACTGACAAAGACATTTACTTCGTTGCCCACCTCTGAGGTTTTCCATCATCATTTTTACAAGCTGCGAACAGTATTTCACTCATATAACAATGATGGAGCTATAAGCTAATATCACATCGTTATTAAGAGCAATTCGGCAATATTTATAAAACGCCTTCAAGAAGAAAAACCCTTTGCACAGACAATTCAATTTATGAGTGAACCCTAAGGAAATAATTTAGCTACATATGCAACTGATAGCTGATAAAGGACGGTTCTTTACAGAATTTCTACTGATGAATGCAGAAGTATTAAGAATTACAGTATCACCATTTTTCAACTCCTGATAAAATAATGGATCTAAGCAAGATCACCAATGGCTGCTAAAACTTAGGCAAAAGGTTAGAGAAAATGTAAAGAGATCCTTCTAAAAGAGATCTCTAGGAGAATCAAGATGGCGGAGGAGTGACGGGAAGTCACACTGACCTCCTCCCAGGACCAACCTGGAATTACAACTAAATTGTGGAGAAATCACCTGGAACAAACAACTGAACAATAGCTAGAGAGGAGCCTTATAACCTCAGACAGACAGAAGAGTCAGCTTTAGCACAACCTAACTAGTAAGGAGTGTGGTAGAGACTCGAGAAAGTGGGTGGGGCGCCCACAGGCAGCAGCACCAAAAGGATATTGAAATGGCCAGTTGGATCCCCCTGAGAAGAGTGGGGTTTAAACCATAAGCGGGGATCTCCAGCCCACAACACATTTTGAATCGATCCCTGGCTAAAGGGGCGCAGTGTGGTCTAGAGACACTTGAGGAGAGACTGGAGACGGAGCCTTTGGAGAAAGAACGGAGAGAGTAGCTGGCGGGATCCCGGTGCTGACTCCTCCCTCACACAGCAACAGCCACCTGGCTCAGGCAGACCACTCCCCTGAGTGGCATCAAAGTGAGAGGACCCAAGAACCCCACCCCCAGGAGGGACTGCCCTGCCCTGCGGTGTCTAAGCCAGCCTACGGAGTACAGAGTGACTAGATTAACAGCTGAAGGAGCCAGCCAGAAACAGTAGATTCTTGGAAGTCTCAAATAGACTCCCTAAGGTCAGACAGGGTCAACCTCTGACATCATCAGAGGCAGATCCAGAAAGAAAAAACAGATGTCTCCTACCATAGAAATTCACACCACACAGTGAGGAACTCAAGACAGATCAATTTAAGAAGAGGAGGCAAAAAAGAAGAGTCTCACAAACAATGGGAAGAAAAAGAAACAACCCCAGTCAAAGGGAAAGGAGGAATCCCCAGAAAGAGAACTAAATGAAATAGAGGCAAGCAAACTATCAGATATTGAGTTCCGAACAACGGTTCTAAGGAAGCTCAATGAGCTCAGTGAGTTCAGAGAGAATTACCAAAAACTACAGGGAAACTATGAGGAACTTACTGAAAACTACATCACCATGAAAAAGGACATAGAAATTATCAATAAGAGACAAGAGGAAATGAAGAATACAATTTCTGAATTGAATAACACAGTAGAAGGAATCAAAAGCAGGCTAGATGAAGCAGAGGAACGAATCAGCGAGCTGGAGGATAAAGTAGAAAACAGTTCCCAGAAAAAGCAAGAAAATGAAAAAAGACTCAAGAATGAAGAGGCATTTAGGGAAAGGCAGGACAACCTGAAACATAATCATATCTGTATAATAGGGATACCAGAAGGAGAAGAGGAGCAAGGAATAGAGAACCTGTTGGAAAAAGTAATGATGGAAAACTTCCCCAATTGGAGGAGAGAAAAAGTCACACAAGTCCAGGAAGCACAGAGGGTCCCATTCAAGAGGAACCCAATGAGGCCCCCTCCAAGACAAATCATCTTTAAATGGCAAATATCAAAGACAGAGAATCCTAAAGGAAGCAAGGGGGAAAGAGGTAGTGACCCAGTATGGCTAGCAGCTGACTCCTCAACAGAAATACTATAAGCCAGAAGGGAATGGCAAGAAATATTCCAAGTATGCCAAATTTTCATCAAAGCAAAGGCCTGCAACCAAGACTGCTCTATCCAGCAAGTCTATCCATTAAAATGGAAGGCAAAATAAGGAGTTTCCCTGACAAAAGAAGGCTAAAAGAATACACCTCCAGCAAACAAGCATTGCAAGATAAGCTAAAGGGACTGCTTTAAGAGAAAGAAATAGAATCTATGAATACCCAGTTCCTTTCACAGTCACCAATACTTGATATTACCAATATTTTTAATACTATTTATTTGATTGTGACAATGATGTGTTACTTCAATTGTTCCTTTATTATCTGTTAAAATTAAACCTGTTTTTGTATATTTCTTGCCTATTTTTAAAAAGCTTTAAGTGACTTTTTGGTATTCTTTATCCACTTTTTGATTTAATGTCTGTAGTGTTTTTTCCCTAAAGAAACAAAACAAAACTATTAACCCTTTTTTAGATGTGTTGCAAATACTTTCCTATTCTATTGCTTGTCCTTTAACTTTTTTTATATGTATATTACTATATAGTCTTAAATGTTTAATATAGCCAGAATGTCAATATTTTATTTATAGCTTCTGGGTTTGAGTATTTTACTTCAGGGTAAGAAAAATATTATCCTCTATTTTCTCCTAAAACTCCTTAGATTTTACATGTTTATTTTTAACTCATCTGAATATTTGTTGTATAATGTGTGAGATAGCGCTCTATATTTGTTTTATTTCAAGTAATAGTGGTCCATGCACCTTATTTGTTGAATAAGCCTTATTTTCCCCATTGAGTTGAAATATCAATTTAATCACATATTACATTGCTAGACTGATACATACTTTTTTTCCAGAACGTTCTTTTTATTTCATCGATCTACTTGATTATTTCTGTGCTGCTGTCATATTGTTTTAATTGCTGAGACTTTATAATGGATTTAAATTTTTAATATTTTATCATGGATATTGACATTTTAAAAAATAAATAAATAAAGTCAATCTGCATTTAAAAAAAGAAAGAAATAAGGAACTCCTACCTTTTGTGACAACATGGATGGAACTGGAGAGTATTATGCTAAGTGAAATAAGCCAGTCAGTGAAGGACAAATACCGTATGATCTCACCTATAAGTGGAATCTATTCAACGAAATAAACTAATGAACAAAATAAAGCACAGGCATGGAAACATGGAACAGGCTGAAAGTGACCAGAGAGGATGGGGAAAGAGGACAATGGTGGAAAGAAGGAGAAGGGACTAAACAAAGAACATGTATGAATGACCCACGGACATGGACAATAGAGTGGGAACTGACTATTTGGGGGGGGGGATGGGTGAGGAGGGCAAAGGGGGAAAAACTGAGACAACTGTAATAGAATCAACATGATTTAAAAATTAAAAATTAAAAAACAATAAGAGATCTCAATAAACAATGGATCAGGCACCACTCCCAAATTCACTGACCAAGCTTATCACACACATACACAAAAAGAAACCACCAAATAACACATGTCTCCTGATAAGATGCAATAGGGTTTTGACTGATGTATTGTTTGGAGGAGCAGAAGACTGCAACAGACTGAATGTCCAGTAACACAGGACTAATTAAATAAATCACAATACTATGGGCCGTAAATAAGCCATTCATGACTAAGATAGCTTTTTAGGTACTAAAAAGTAATGATTATCTTTTTAAGTTTAAAAAAAAGTACACAACAATGTGCATACTATACTACTATTTATGCAAAAATGGGAATAATACAGGATATATATACATATATATACTTGCTTGTACATACTTAAAATCTCTGGAAGGATACAAAAACACTACAGTATCTGTTGCCTTTAGAGAAGACAGCAGGGTGCTTGGCAGGATAGCAGGGGGAAGAAAACTCTTTAATGCATATCCTTTGTCCCTTTAAAATTTTGAACAATATATTATTAAAAGTTATGATTTTAAAAATATGAAAAAGAAGCCACACACAAAAAAGTATATATGCCAAACAATTCAATATATGAGACACTAAAGAACAGCAAGATTACTCTATGGTAATACAAAGGAGAATGGCAGTTACTCCTTGAATGAGTGAATTTACTGGAAAAGGACAAACATAAAGGAACTTCATAAGGTGTGGCAATGTTCTACATCTTCATTTGGGTGTGGTTACATGGGTGAATACATTTGTCTTAATTCATTGACTACACTTAATATTTGTGCATTTTACTCTAAGTAACTTATACCTCAAAGAAAAAATACATACATGCATATTTTTAAAAAGGATCAGAGTATATACTCCAAAGTGTTCATGGTAATTATCTTTAAGTGATAAGATTACAAGTGATATTTTTGTTTATCTGAAATTTTTGGCTTTTCTAAAACTAACGTGTATTACTTTCATGTTAAGTAAAACCCACCATCCTGCTTTCTTCACAGACCCCATCAGTAGGATTATACCAACTTCAACCAGAAAAGGCTTTGCTGTGCCTGTCTGAAACCCAGCTGAAAATCAGCTCACCACACACAGCCTTCTCCAAGCCCCGCGAGTCCAAGCCCGGGACGCTATCCATCCTGTCCACTCCTACATCCCCCGCACCTGCCACAGTGCCTTATATAAAACTGGTACTCCATAAATCTCTGGCAAACACTGACTGGATGTTCTAATATAAAATGAGAAGCTGTTCTGAACAATTTTGAGAAGAATGTGGACATGTGTTATATTGTTATTGAATAAAATGTGGTACTGGCTCAAAAACAAAAAGGTGCTAGGATCCACCAAAAGACAATTACAAAAAGGCAAAATAAAAAAGTTCTCTTGATATTTAACTAAAGCCATGAAAGACTCTTTGTATCCTAGGAATCCTAATGGTGAAGATTCCTTTAGAATTTCAAGACCATATTATTGCACAAGACTAGAATTTTTCTCAGTAAGAAACTAAATAACTGAACTACTTTAGACAAATATATGAAAAAGAAAAATTACTGCCTTGATGATAAGTATCCTGTAACTACCTCTAATAAGTGGATATTCCAAAAACAAAGGCCAAGCTCTGAACTATTATCTGAGGCCTTAAGCTTCAATCAATAATACAGTGTATCTCCATTCCAAGTAAGAGCCAAAAAATTCAATATGAAAGACTGCCATTCAATCCTATCAAAGTGCTGTCAATAAAACATTTTTTAAAAAACAGTTTAGTACTAACCATACATTCCTCTACAGTTTTCAGCTTTAACAGTGCTAGTTAGGTCATCAGAAAGCACCACACCATTCGTTTAGTTTCCCATGAAAATATTTTTACTGGGTTAATTCTTAATGTTATATCCTCAACTTACAGAGGTTAATACAAGAAAAAGCAACATGAACAATGTTTTTGTATCTTCTGCAAAACAACTGAAGATACTGCTTACCATCATTCTGGTTTATTTATGTTAAGATTTACACAACCAGTTTTTCTTGAAATAAGAACCAGAAAAAAGATTCTCTCCTAAAAAGTTATGTTCCTTTTTATCAGCTAAGAACTATATTAATTGCTGTGTTTCTTTCTGGAATTTAGTTCAAGTATAATGGTGCTCAAGAACTGTACTAAATTTTAACGTGCAAGTACAATTATCTTGCCTTAGTTTTCGGGTAGAACTTTTTCCCCATTCCACTGTTTTAGTTTTTGAGCTCTCTGACTTTAATTTCTTTTGTATATACATCCTCACTATAATAAACTACCTCAAATCCTTGGAATTAGATGGGGTACGAATAAAAAAATTGAAATAATGAAACAGGGTCCATAGCCTGCCTTGTAAGTAGAAACAGAAACTTTTTCAATTTATCCATAGGATTTATCAAGAGGGACATTAAAGTGCAGGAGAGAAATCGAATGGTTTGCCTGATAAATGTCCTGTCTTGGTGACCAAACTATTGCACCTGGAACACCATTCTTTCAATTAGGTGACATCTGAGGCAATAATAATTAGGAACTAACATTTGTCCATGGGTATTTTTCCTCCTCCCTTCCTTCTTTGTCCCTTTTTAACTGGATTGGTTTAACCTCAGGCCTACTGGGAACACTTCAGCATGAGGAGAGTGATACTGGAGCTACAGAAGTGCTGCCCATTTGTCGGGCTGTATCCTCAGAGCCCCTGCACTGCTTGTGCTCTACATTTCACAAAGAAAGGTCGCAAGGGACACATTCAGAGCTTCAGCATTTACAGAACACATGAAAAATTCACTGTGAGTAATTCTATATAGCTACACTAGTCTTTAGCCTAAGAATTGAAATCAAAGTTCTGTTTCTCATCAGGCAACATCCTTAAACTCAAAAACTACCTACCAATTTAAAACAAATAGTCAATCAGTCATTTCTTTAAAGTACCTATGTAGCACCACATTTTTAATTAAACTCAAATAAAGCCACATTTAATGTTTTAATTTTAAAAGCCATAAAATTAAACTATAGTTACATTATACACTGGACTATTAATGTTTAATGTTTTCATTTTTTATATTTTAATTTAAGATATTCACATGGTAAAAAAAATTCAGGTTAGAAATAACATTATTTATTGAATATATAAAGTATAAAGACTGACATCAAAGAGCAAGAATAAAGGAAAAAATGTTACATGATGTATTTTACTCACCAGAGCTGTAATATGAGTATCTTTTTTTTAAAGGAGATATTTCCTCCTTTTAGGAGAAGAAAGCGTTTCTAATCGATCCAACCAATTCTGATTCTCACCCTCCTCAGAAATAAATTAATTTTGCATTGTATACTTTTTAAACAAGTGTGTGTGGCAGAGAGGAAGGTGGGAGAAGAGGGCTGGAGTGCTCTGTTTTATTTGCTAGTTTCAAATCTTTCCAGCTTCTTGAAAAGAGCATATTCAATAGGTTTTTTTGCCTGCATTGCAGATTTTTGGCAGGCTAACTTTGTCCTATTTCAAAAGCTTTGCTGAACCTGAAAAACTACAATAACTGTTTTCATCCTGTCATGTCAAAAATTCTTAGGAACTATTAAGGCTGTTCTTCATTACCTATGCACACCAGCCCCAACATGCTTAAAGGACTGAGATTGGCATTCAGACACAAAAGGCACCAAGAGACATAAAAGAGAGGAACTCAGCTAAATCCTCACATAGCTCAGGATAAACTCTCAATGACTAAAAACCTGTGACCTGATTTTCTTTTAATTTAAGAAGGTTTATTTTATAACAGTTTATTTAATGAGTTTCTTATAAAATCTCCAGGACCCTGAGAAAATCAGATTCAGGGCTACACAGTGAGGAACAATAGGCTAAAAGCAAAAAATTGGTTCAGTGAGGAAAACACTACTGCTACAGCATCTTAATCTGCTCAGCCAGTCACCAAAATACCATACACTTGGAGGCTGAAACAACAGACATTTATTCTCACAGATATGGAGGCTGGGAAGTCAAGATAAAGGTTCTGCTGATTTGATTTCTAGTGAGAACTCTCTTTCTGGATTGCAGATAGCTATGTTCTCACTGTGTCCTCCCATGGTGAAGTGATTTTTCATAAGGTAAAGAAAACCCAAATATTTCTCTGAACAAATATTTTATCCACCCTAACTAAATTTTTAGCAGGACTATCCCAATGGCAGCCAAGAAAATGTAGCTGCTTTCAGTTTCTTTAGCAAAAATTGACCTGGGTATAATTTAAATTATCAGAACTCATTCTAAATTGCTCTGCTTTGTAAGGTAAATTTCTTTTATGCAAGGAAAATTGTAAATATCTAACTACAAAGACCAAATTATTTTGAGTTTCAAGCAAGAACAAGAGAGAACAGTTATGTTCATTACTGAGCAAGTAAAACATAGAAGTATTCTTTGCTGTTTGAGGTTCAGAAAGAATGAGCAGACTGCTAACCCAATCACCTAATGATTTTGTGCAAGAAAAATATTTTGTCTTCAAAACAATTAATGGAAAAAAGAAGTGGCCCACAAATAAGTTCTCATATTACGCAGTGTCATACACAATATAACTAGAGAAAAATTTTTATTCCTTTTTCTTTGTTTTACCCAATGAACCAGATAACCCATTTCTACAAGGCAATGACAAACAACAGTATGGGACCTGAATATTATTAATAGATTTTTTTAAAAAACAAAACTATTCAAGTGAGTCAGTTTTCAAATTTATCTTATTCTTTATCAATCCTATGTAAAAGAAGTAAAGTGAGGTGGGGAAGAAATGCTTCTTTGAAACAAATCTGTTAGGTCAGATGTATGTGTAAATTAAAATTTTACAGTAAAAAGAATAACAACTCTGCCCCTAGGACAGCAATGTTTTCCTGAGCCAAAACATTTGCTTGGGTAGCTGGGTAATTTTTTGGTATCCTCACAATGACTCACACAAAATTACCTGTGTGAAAAAAAAAAAAAAAAGAAACTGAAAGTCTGCATTTCTGAAAGACATTAAAGACTTTCCTAGAGAATCATGTTATGGTGTTGAGTTACTACAGCAAGCAGAATAATGGCTCTCCAAAGATGCCCACATCCCACTGTCTGGAATCTGTAAATACGCTACCATGGCATGGCAAAGAGACTTCTGCAGAAGTGATTTAGGTTATGAGTTTGAAATGGAGAGATTATCCTGGGTTTTCTGGGTGGGCTCAATCAAATCATGGGAGTCCTTGAAAGCAGAGAACCTTTCCCTGCTGTGGCCAGAGAGAAAGAGAGAGAGAGAGATGTGACAACGGAAGAAGTGTCAGAGAGATGCAATGGTCCAAGTGTGTTGATACAGAGGAAGGAAACCTCTAGCCAAGGAATGCGTGCGGCCCCTAGAAGCTGGACTTGAAAGGCAAGGAAACAGATTCTTCCCTAGAGCCTCCAGAAAGGACACAACCCTGTCACACCTCGATTTTAGTACAGTAAAACCCTATCAGACTTCTGTCCCACAGAACTACATAATAAATTTGTATTGTTTTAAGCCATCAACCTTATAGTAATATGTTACAGAAGCATAGAAACTAATACAGTACACCTATAAGCGGAACCTAACCAACAATGCAAAGATGCAAGGAAAATATGACCAGCAACACTGAAAGGAAAAGAAACTAATACAGTAGCCTATACTCTTTGATAGGTAATAGAATTTCCTTTTGGAGAAAATAATGGCACATCCTATTAAAAACAAAATTTGCCTACTGAACTAGTATAATTTAAGGTAGAGACTTTCCATAAAAATTTGTAAATATATGCTTTAAATCCACTTTAAACCTTTCAGACAATGGTCCAATGTTAAGTGTTACACATGAGCAAGTCAATAACCCTTGTTCTCCCAGCTCTCTAGGCCAGTACAGATGACCACCCTTCCCTGCTCCTGGAGATTACTCACTCAATGAAGTCCTCTTTACACTGCTTTAGCATCTCACATGTCTGCTGGATCTCTTGCTCACTCAAAAGTACCAACATCCCAATAGTTAGGTGAAGTTTTTTCGGATTCTGGAAAATAGAGCTATCAACTCCATGATCCTGTTATCAAAAGGAGAAAAATAAGAAACTCAGCCCATATAAAAATAAATAGTATAAATAAAATTTAGAGTCCAGAAATGAATCCACACATTTATATATAACCAACTGATTTTCAACCAGAGTGCCAAGACAATTTAATGATGAAAGGAGAGTCTCTTCAACAAATGATGCTGGGACAACTGAATATCCACATGCAAAAGAATGAAGTTGGATCCCTACGTCATACTATATACAGGAATTATATCTAAATGGAGTCATGAACTACTATCACGTATGATATCATTGATATGAACATGTATCAATATAGATAAATCTCAAAAACATTAGCTAAGCAAAATAAGCCAGGTGCAAAAAATTATGTATTATGATTTCATTTATGGAAATGGACAAAAAAGGCAAATCTGTAGAGACTGAAATATTAATGGTTGCTTGGGGTCTGGGAAGGGACTGCAAACAGGCATGATGGATCTTTTTGGACTGATGGAGATGTTCTAAAACTGGATTGTGGTAAAGGCTGCACAACTCTGTAAATTTACTAAAAGCAATTGAATTGCACATTTAAGATGGGTGTATTTTTTAAATTTTTATTTACTGTTTTTTTTTTTTAAGTGAGAGAGAGAGGAAGCAGGAGAGAGAAAGTGCACACTGGGGATGAAACCCACTTGGCGTAGCAGAATGATGCTCCAACCAACTGAGCTACCCAGCCAGGGTATTTGGTATGTAAACTATACCCCAATAAAACTATTAAACATAAATATGTGTATATATGCCTTTTCTTTTTAAGAGCATTCAAGCAATGAAGCAAGCTTTTACCTATAATTCAACCTGCTGAGAGTTATTCACAGAATAATTTAAGAGTGTTCATCTCTTCAAATACCATATGACATCACTTATATGTGGAATCCAGAAAGTAAAACAAATGAACAAACAAAACAGAAACAGATTCATAGATACAGAGAACAGATGGAATGTTGCCAGAAGGGAGGCGGGAGCGGGGGGTGCGTTTGGTTAAGGGGCTGGGTGAAAAAGGTGAAGGGATTAAGACGTACAAACTGGTAGTCACAAAATAGTCACAGGAATGTGAAGTACAGCATAGGGAATGTAGTCCGTAATGTTGTAATAACTATGTATGGCTTGAGGTGGGTATCTGAAATATTGGGGACGGGGAACACTTTATAAAGGACATGATTGTCTAACCACTATGCTGTTTACCCAAAACTAATACAAAAAATACTGGTTGTACACTCTAATTGAAAAACAAATAATAATAACAACAACAACACAGTGAAACCAAATCTACTGAAATAACAACAACAACAATACGGTGAAACCAAATCTACTGAAATGAATTGGATATTTGAATATTGATATTGGAGGAAAAAAAAGAGTGATCATCTCTTACTTGATCCCTCCTTTTGACTTGCCAAAGGTCTTTCAACCTATAATGTTAAAAACACCATGTACACATAGAGATTTTTGTAGACGATAAAGCTGGTATCTCAAATCACTGAGGAAAATATAATTTCCCTTAATTATGTTGGGGCAACTGGACAGATACTTGGAAAAGAATACAATTATATCTATTCTTTGCACCACACATGAGAATAAACCCCAAACCAAAGACTAAAATGTAAAAAATGAAACTACACAAGTGCAAAAAGAAAACATAGATGAATTCCTCTTTAACCTGAATACAGACAAAGGCTTTCAAACTAAAACCAGAAATCTGCCCGAACTAGTGTGGCTCAGTTGGCTAGGTGTCATCCTGCAAAGCAAAAGGTCACTGGTTAGATTCCTGGTCAGGGCACATGCCTAGGACTGGTGTCCTTATAAAAAGAGGAGCACATGCACACAGAGAAAAGGCCATGTAAGGGCACAGCAAAAAGGCAGATGTCCGCAAGCCAGGAAGAAAGGTCTCATCAGAAAACAACACTGCCAGCATCTTGATCTTGGACTTCTAGCCTCTGTGAGAAAATAGATCTCTGTTGTTTAAGCCACTCAAGTCTATGGTATTCTGTTATAGCAGCCCAAGCAGTCTAATACACCGTGCAATCCTACTTCTGGGAATTTATCCTGAGGATATATTTTCAGCAATATAAACTATATGTGCACAAGGTTAGTGACTAGAGCATTACTGGAAAATATTTCAATGTCCAAGTATAGAAGATTGGTTGAAAACCATGTATAAATAAAATACAAGTGTAAACTGATATAAAGTGACTTTTCAGGACATAATGGTAAATGAAAAAAGAACAGTGCACAAGAGCACATAACTTGCTACCATCTGTGTAAAAAAGAAGGGAAAATTAAAAAAACAAACACATACCTATTTATCTATACAAAAAGGAACACAAGACAAATAAACCAAAAAGCAATGAAGTTGGTTACCCACAAGTGATGAGGAGAACAGGGTAGAAAGGACTCAGAAACATGCTCCACTTCTTCTGAATATGCCCTTCTGTACAGTTTTTTTAAATATTTTATTTATTCATTTTTAGAGAGAGGGGAAGGGAGGGAGAAAGAATGGGAGAGAAACATCAGTGTGTGATTGCCTCTTGCACACCCCCCATTGGGGATCTGGCCCGCAACCCAGGCATGTTCTCTGACTGGGAATCAAACCAACAACCCTTTGGTTCGTAGGCCAGCACTCAATCCACTGAGCCACACCAGCCAGGGCCCTTTTGCACAGTTTTGACTTTTAGAAGCATTTTGCTAACCTACGTATTCAAAATTAAATTAGCAAGGATGGGAAGCGGCGGGGGGTGGGGGGGGGAGCTAAATGTTGAAAGCAAACTAAAAATTAACCAACTTGCATTTCAAATGAATACCAAATCCACACTAGAGGGGGTTTAAAAAGGAAGAGCTAATACAAGTCAATTTATAAACACAAAATCTGACTATATATCTCAGCTGGGCTTTTTTTTAGATGTTATTATAGGATTGAGTGAATGGGTAAGGAAGAACATAAAAATATGGACACGCACCCTCACTAGTGTGGCTCAGTTAGTTCAGCGCATTCCACAAAGTGAAAGGTTGTTGGCTGGATTCCTGGTCAGGGCACATGCCTCGGTTGCAGGTCTGGTCCCAGGTCAGGGAGCATATGAGAGGCAATCTATCAATGTTTCTCTCTCACAGCAGTGTTTCTCTCCCTCTCTTTCTCCCTCCCTTTCTCTCACTCTAAAAATAAATAAGTAAAATCTTTTTTAAAAACTATGGAACATGGGAGGGAAAGAAAGAACCCTGTGGGATGGAGTACAAAGATATTTTTGTGAACTTTTTTTCTTTAGAGGTTTTATTTATTTATTTTCAGAGAGGTAGAAAGCAAGGCGGGGAGAGAGAGAGAGAAACATCAATGTGTGAGAGACGTATCAATCAGCTGCCTCTCACACACCCCCAACTGAGGACCTAGCCTGCAACCCAGGCATGTGCCCTGACTGGGAATTGAACCAGCAACGTTCTAGTTCATAGGCTGGCACTCAATCCACTGAGCCACACCAGCCAGGACGTCTTTGTGAACTCTTGATTTCTAAAAGATATACAGTCAGCCCTCTGTATCTGTGGGTGTCACATCTGTGAATTCAACCAACTACAGATCAAAAACATTTGGAAGAAAAAATTTCAGAAGATTCCAAAAGGCAAAACTTGAATCTGTCACATGTCAAACTGACTCCACGCAAATGAAGTGATGTATAGACCTACCCTGCTGTAGCTTGTATGCATATAGGTTATATGCAAATTCTCTGCCATTTTATGTAAGGGACTTGAACATCCTTGGATTTTGGTATCTGCAGGGAGTCGTGGAACCAATCCCCTGCTAGATACAGAGGGACAACTGTATAAGCACAAATATGTATGTAAGTATATATATGTATACATACTCATACATATAGATATATGTATATATACACATCCATACATATATTTTCCAGCTCTGTCTACAGGAAGGACTTAGCAGTAAAGATATTTTGAGCATACCTATCACCATTTTGGTCTCTAGTACCATTTCCCACTAAATGGAACCAGGATTATTAGAGGAATGGCTAACTCCAGGGTTGGGTCAGGGAAGTACAAGATAAGCCTGGAACATCTTATTATGCCAGAAAGTATAGAAATAATGGTGGTGGGGTATGGAAGGAAGGCATGTCACCAACACAGAATCCAGCTTGAAGGACCCCCCCACTGGTTACATGAGGAACAATTGGAACACTAAAATAATTGAGTAATAATTTATAAACTTTTGAAAAAATAGGATTGTACATGCATGACAGATGAGAAGAGAGTGTTGTTTCTTGTAGTAGAACACTGAATTGTAACTGGTAAATATAGAGAAAATATAAAAAGTTACAAATTCATAAGTCCGCAACCATCAAGGCAAAGATTGGTTCAGGAAAGAATTATCAAAGGATGCTAAATCTAAGGAGAAATTTTGCTGAGAAGCTGAACTTTTGCATAGTCTTAAAATGTCTCCCCACAGATTGCTTACAGGTTGTGTAGAAAATTAATCACACCTGGACTGGCTGGTGTAAAAATTAACATTACTAATAAAGGGCATCGTATCTAGATGAGGTATGTTGAGAAAGACATATCATCACTCACACAATGTCCTAGCCAGAAATGCATAACCTCAGTCTACTCCTGAAGAAACATCGGACCAACCCCAAAAGAGCATTCTAGTCTTTAAAATTTATTATTTATTAAAGCAGCATTCTATTTTTAAAAAACCAAACAAAGTCAATACCAAGAAAGACAAAGAAAGGCTGTGGAAATGGTCCAGATCCAGGGAGACTGAAGAGAAATGTCAACTAAATATAAAACCTAATGCTAGGCTGGATCCTGTATCAGAGGGGAAAAATGCTGTGTTGACAAAATTAGGATGTGGATAGCAAAACATAGATAAAAGTATCAATGTTAAGTTTATTAAAGTTGAAAATTATATGGCTATTATGTTTTTAAAAATAGTGATTTCATAAGAAATATATATCTCGAAGTATTTAGGGGTA